CTCCCATCAACAGTGCACAAAGATTCTAATTTCTCCACATCCTCCCCAGAAACCCAACCCAAAATTATTATTTTGTTTTTTTGATAATAGCCATCCTATGGGTGTGAGGTGGTGTCTCATTGTGGTTTTTATTTGCATTTCTCTGATGTTTAGTAATGTTGAGCATCTTTCATGTGTTTATTGATCTTTTGTGTATCTTATTTGGAGAAATGTCTATTCAAGTCTTTTTCCCATTTTTTAATCAGGTTGTTTTGTTGTTGTTGAGTTGTAGGACTTCTTTATATATTCTGGATATTAACCCCTTATCATATATTTGATTTGCAAATATTTTCTTTCTTTCTATGGGTCGCCTTTTTACTCTATTTGTTGTGTCCTTTGATGCACAGAAGTTTTTTATTTTGATGTGATCCAATTTATGTATCTGTTTTTCTTTCTGTTCTTTCTTTTGTTGCCTGTGCTTTTGGTGTCATATCCAGGAAATCATTGCCAAATCCAATGTCATGAAGCTTTCCCCATATGTTTTCTTCTAAGAGTTTTCTAGTTTTACCTCTCGCATCTAGGTCTTTGATCCATTTTGAGTTAATTTTTGTATTTGGCATAACATAAGGGTCTAACTTCATTCTTTTGCATGTGGATATCCAGTTTTTTCCAGCACCATTTGTTGGAAAGACTGTCCTTTCCCCCACTGACTGGTCTTGTCACCCTTGTTGAAAATTATTTGACCATAGGTATTAGTCTGCTCAAGCTACTATAACAAAATACCACAGACTGGGTGGCTTAAACAACAGACATTTATTTTCTCACAGTTCTGGATGCTAGAAATCCATGATCAAGGTGCCAGCAAATTCAGTTTCTGGGAGAACTCTCTTCCAAGCTTGCAGATGGCCACCTTCTCTCTGTCCTCACATGGCACAGGTGGAGAGAGAGAGAGAGAGAGCTCTCTGGTGTCTCCTCCTCTTCTTATAAGGACACCAATCCTATTGGATTAGGACCTCACCCTTGTGACCACATTTAAGTTTCATGACCTCCCTAAAGGCCCTATCTCCAAATACAGTCACATTAGGGGTTAGGGCTTCAACATATGAATTTTGGGGGGAGACAATTTTGTCCATAGCAACATACATGACAGTTTATTTCCTGGGCTTTATTCTATTCCATTGGTCTATATGTCTGCCTTTATGACAGATACTCACACTGTTTGATTACTATAGCTTTGTAATATGTTTTTAAACCAGGAAGTGTGAGACCTTCAACTTTGTTCATCTCTTTTGAGATTGTTTTGGCTATTTGGGGTCCCTTGAGATCCTACATGAATTTTAGGATGAATTTTTCTATTTCTTAAAAAGAAAATGCTGTTTGTATTTTTATAGGGATTACATTGAATCTGTAGGTCAATACTTTAGGTAGTATTGTCATCTTAACAATATTAACTCTTCCAATCCATGTACACAGGATGTCTTTCCATTTATTTGTATCTCCTTTAATGACTTTGAGCAATGTTTTCTAGTTTTCAGTGTACAAGTCTTTCACTTCCTTGGTTAAATTTATTCATAAGTATTTTATTCTTTTTGATGATATTGTAAAGACTTGTTTTTTTAATTTCTTTTTTGGGTTGTTCATTGTTAGTGTATAGAAATACAACTGATTTTTGTATCCTGCAACTTTGGTGACTTTGTTTATTAGTTCTAGCAATTTTCTTTTTTCTTTATTTTTTTTTTTTGTTGGTGGAATCTTTAAAGTTTTGTGCATATAAGATTATGTCCTCTGTAAACAGAGATCATTTTACTTCATCCTTTCCAAGTTAGATAACTTTTGTTTCTTTTTCTTGCCTATTAGCTCTGGTTAAGATTTCCAGTACTATGTTAAATAGAAGTGGCAAAAATGGGGATCCTTGTCTTGTTCCTGATCTTAAAAGAAGTAAAATATCAAATATAGAATACCAATAAAGAGATAGAAGTTATAAAAAACAACCAAATGGAAATTCTGGAGTTGAAAAGTACAATAAGTGAAATGAAAAATTCACTAGAGAGGCTGAAAAGTAGATTTGTACCGGCAGAAAAAAGAATTAGTGAACTTGAAGATATGTGCTAGAGTTTAAGCAATCTGAAGAGTAGAGAGAAAAAAGGAGAAAAATAAGCAGAGCCTTAGAGAAATGTGGGACATTATTAAACATACCAACCAACATATGCAAAATGGGAGTATTGAAAGGAGAGGAGACAGAGAAAGGAACAGAAAAAATACCTGCAGAAATAATGGCTGAAAATGCCTGAAACTTATTGAAAAACACTAACCTACACATCCAGGAAGCTCGATGAACTTCAATTGGGCTAAATATAAAGAGATCCACAAACACACACTGCATAGTAAAAATGCTCAAGTCAAAGACAAGAAGAAAATCTTGAGAGCAGCAAGAGAAAAATGACTCATCGCGTATAAGGGAATCTCAATAGATCAATAGCTAATTTCTCAGCAGAAACAATGGAGGCCAGATGGCAGTGGGATAACATTCAAAGTGCTCCCCAAAAAACCACTCTTAACCAAGAATTCCATATTTGGCAAACCTTTATTTCAAAAATAAAGGCTCAGATTCTTGGAGTTCCAGGCTGATGGAGGTGACTTTGTAGTAGACATGTCTATTTGGATGTCCCAGGGGAACTCAAATCCACCATTTCCCAAGCTGTCTTCATCATCATCTTCCCCACCTCCATCCTAAGTATGTTTCTGCCTTCATGCTCCCCACGTCAGTGAATGGGCCACCCTCCACCCAGGTGCTCATTCCAGACTCATTCTGCCATAGACCCAAACCCAAAATGCTCCCCCAACATCCCTCTGTTGCCTTGCTTCATCCCATTTCCTTCAACAGCCTCTCAACTGCTCTGCCTGCCCCCACTCTTGACCCATTTCTTTTTTTTTTTTAATTTTTAAAAAATCTATCCACTAGACTTATTTATTTATTTATTTATTTATTTATTTATTTATTTATTTGTGAGGAGATCAGCCCTGTGCTAACATCTGCCAATCCTCCTCTTTTTTTGCTGAGGAAGACTGGCCCTGGGCTAACATCTGTGCTCATCTTCCTCCACTTTATATGGGACGCCACCACAGCATGGCTTGTCACGCAGTGCATTGGTGCACTCCCAGGATCCGAACCGGCGAACCCCAGGCCACTGCAGCGGAGCGTGCGCAGTTAACCGCTTGCGGCACCGGGCCGGTCCCATCTTGACCCATTTCTGACCCATGGTCCTCACAGCAGCAAGAAAGATTTTTCTAAAACGCAAATCAGATAATCACACACACACACACACACACCCTTAAGACTCTTCCAGATCTCTCCATTTTCTTTCAGAGAAACTTCCACATGGCAGGTGGCAGATAAGGCCCCTTCCTTCTGGCCTGACAACCCACGTAGGTCAAGACCCCTCTGCTCAAGACCAAACTTGCTGTTTCCAAAATGGCTTTTGCCTGTCCCTGTGCCTACCTGGATGTGTCCACTTTGCCAGGGGTGAAGTGCCTCCTTTTTCCACCCAGTTAATGCCCACATCATTTAAGACACAAGCTCGATGATTGCCTTCTCCAGAAAGTCTCCCCTGATTCTCATTCTGGGTTAAATCTTGTTACATCTTAAGGACACTGGACCACCTCCTCCACAGCATTTATCACGCTGCATTGTAAATTTTCTTTTCCTTTTTAAAATTTTTTAAAAAACATTTTATTCATTTGTTCTTTTAATTGTCTAGCTTCCTCACTAGAATGTTTACCTGTGTATCTCCAGTACCAAGCTCATTAGGTGCTCAATAGATGTTTGCTGAATGAATGTTGAATGAATAGAATGTACCAGAGGAACTCGACAGGAGGCAGAAAGAGAAGTTAGGCTGTTATTACAGTGACCGAGGAGGGAGATTCTAGGGCCCAAACCAAGGCAGGGGCAGCAGGACGAGGAACCAGTGGGACTTATAAAGACATTGCCTTGAAATCTGCCACACAGCTTAAACCACAGGAACAAGCCCGTGTGGCTTGGGGCCCTATTTTTGGGTGGTGCAGGAGAGCACTCCGTGGGTAATGGCTGCTCTGGAAGCTGCTCTGTGAGCAGGGACAAGGTGAAGTTTGGTTGGTGGGGACAAGGAAGTATCAATGTAGCCATCCACTGGCCAGCACACTGCCTCTCCTGCCCCACCTGGGACCCTCCAGGGCCTGGGGTGCAGCGAGAGGTTTGTGTATCAAGGACTAAATTCTGGAGTCACGCAGAGTTGGGAGGATAGTGGGGAATAACATGTAAGAATATTTTGGATGAGGGGCCAGCCCAGTTGCATAGTGATTAAATTCCCCGGCTCCGCTTCGGCGGCCCGGGGTTCACAGGTTCAGATCCTGGGCGCAGACCGACACACCGCTTGTCAAGCCAGGCTGTGGCGGCATCCCATATAAAGTCAGGAAGATGGGCACGGATGTTAGCCCAGGGCCAGTCTTCCTCAGCAAAAAGAGGAGGATTGGCAACGGATGTTAGCTCAGGGCTGATCTTCCTCACCAAAAAGAAAAAGAAGAAGAAGAAGAAGATTTTGGATGAACCTTGAAAACGTTACAAAAAGTTAAATAAGCCAGACGCAAAAGGACAAATACTATATGATTCCACTTATATGAGGGACCTAGAATAATCAAATTCATAGAGATAGAAAGTAGAATGGTGGTTGACAGGACCTCAGGGGCGGGAGTGGGGTGGGACGGGGAATTAGTGTTTGATGGGTAGAGAGTTTTTCTCTGTAAGAGACTCTGTACAGAATACAGAGTTTTTCATATGAAAGAATATGAAGAAGTCTGGAGATGAATGGTGCTGATGGTTGCCCAACAATGTCAATGTACTTAATGCCATTGAGTTGTACATTCACAAAGGGTTAAAATGGTAAAATTTATGTTAGGTATATTTTACTGCGATAAAAAAATTACTACTGACAAACAAAGAATGTTTGGGATTGATGGAGGGAGGAAGAAGTCTGGAGGAGGGCCAATGGCAGCCTCTCTGCTCCAACAGGACTGAGCAGGAGCCCTGTTCCAGTCACCTCAGAAGGAGGCCGTGTCAGGCTTCCAACCGGTTGTCCCCATTGGAAACACATGGACCAGAAAACTGCATGCGTTCCCCTCACGTGTGACTGTTGCCCTTGCCTCTCCCCTCACGGTGGGAGCTTGCCATTGTGGTGAAGAAGGGGAGGGAGCTTTGCTCTGGAGTTCTCTGACTTGGGAGCTGGTAAGAAGGTGATGGGCTGGGAGGGATGTTTGCACTGAGCCCAGCCTATCCTAGCCTTGGGCCCTCCGTGACAAACATGCCCTCAGCAGGGTTTGCCTGGGCTTAGGCATATCCATCCTGGCTGGAGCCAGTCTCTAGAGTTCAGGTCTAACGCAGGTTGCAGTGGGAGGTCTGCCTGCTGGGTCTTCGCCCGGACAATGGCGGCTTATTTTTAAGGCACCTTCGCCCTAGGCAGAGAAGATAGTAAGTCTTGGATCCATAAACCTTCCCCCAGTCCACTTGCTGCCGGCCCAACCCCATGACTTGGGACAAGTCTGGGTCAGACCCAGGGAGCAAAGCAGGGATATTCCCTTTCTAAGCACTTGGAAGGAAAGAAAGAGAGGCCCGGGGGAGGGTCAGGGATGATTCCAGGCCCTTGAGGGGCTAGTTTTCTGATTTCAGAGAAACAAATGTCACAGAAAGGAGCCCAGAACTGACTCTATCATTATTCCAGAGACAGGAGCTTTCTAATTCCCACAAGCCTGACACCAATAGGAGCACCCTTTTTGGCAACTTAAAGCACAGCTGTCACTGGACAGCAGAGCTGGAAGCTACGTGAGGAGTATCCCAGGCCAATAATGTGCTTACTTCCCAATGATGTGGTCACCTATAGCTAGTTAGGTCAGAGCAGGGACGAGACCCCATGTCCCTTGACTTCCAGCCCATTGCCTGTCCATATGCCACTGTTGCTCTTAGCTCCCCCATTTGCATCTAGTGTGGAGGAATTTGTCTAGGGCTAGCTCTGCCATCTTGTCATGTATTGCCATGATTTTTTTTTTCTGCAGCAGATGCTCTGGTAAAACAAATATAAAATGAATGACAAGACATTCTCCTTCTTGGTGGGCATCTTCTCTGTCCTCAACACCATCCAGTTCCTCATCTTTGACTCGAACCAGGTTACATTCATTGGCTACGAGGACAAGTTCAACATCTACACAGACACAAACTCTGAGGTAGTCTCTTGGGTCATCATCAACAGGAGGAACACCAGCATCGGGCTATCCGTCATCACCATCGTGGTCAGCTGCTTGCTCTTCTATTGCCTTCACGTGAACAACTACGTGGGGCTGCTGTGCTATGTCTTGTGGATCATCGCCTATGAGCTCATCAACTTCTCCATGGTCCTGCTCATCAACGGGACCATCAAAGAGCAGTTCAAGGAGCTGAGTTACCTGCACTTGACCATCCAAATCTCCCGCATGCTCCTGCATTTCCTCTGTCTGCCCTTGGTCACCAAGCATATGTACTCCCTTTACAAGGACCCCAAGATGTTAGGCAAGATAGGCCGCCGCAGGTACTCCTCCATCAGTATAGTCGATTTGTGGCCGCCTGTTGGGCCACCTCTTAGGCCAGGAACATTGTACCGCAAGAGGAACTGAACCGTGCCAGGAAGAAGAGAGAGAAGACAGCGCTCCCCAACCACGGCTCCCTCTTTACTTGCCTGCCTTCTGCTGATTTTGCTTGCCTTTTCGGGGTTCTTGAGTTTTCTGCACTTAAGGGTGGTTCTTGGAGGACGGAGAGTTGTGCGTGTGTGTGTTTGTGACTTGTTTTAGTGTTTAATTATATACTGCCTTTGTGCTTGCTTAGCCATCTCACTGGTGTATGCTCTTGTCTTTCATGGTCCCCTCCTCTCTGCACATCCTTGGTTTCTAATTTTTTCTTGTGGCTTGCCCCACAGGCGCGTGGTTCTGCTGAGTCCTGCTGGAGCAGTGCTCTCCGATAGAACTTTCTGTGCTGATAGAAATGTTCTCTATCTATGCTGTCCACTAGCCACATGTGGTATTGAGCACTTGGAACATGGCTATTACAACCCAGGAATCAAATTTTAAATTTTATTCCATTTTAATTACAGGCACACCTCAGAGACATTGAGGGTTCAGTTCCAGACCACTGCAATACAGCGAATATCGCAATAAAGCAAGTCACGTGAATTTTTTGGTTTCCCAGTGCATAAAAAGTTATGTTTACACTATACTGTAGTCTATTAAGTGTGCAATAGCATTATGTCTAAAGAAACAATGTATATACCTTAATTAAAAAATACTTTATTGATAAAAAAAATGCTAACCATCACCTGAGCCTTCAGTAAGTCATAATCTCTTTGCTGGTGGAGGATCTTGTAAAAAAACAGAATATCTGTGAAGCACAATAAGGCAAAGTGCAATAAAACAAGGTGTGCCTGTAATTTCAATTTCAACAGCCACATGCGGCTGGCTTGTGGCTGCCATATTGGAGAGCACAGGAGTCTGGAGCCTCATTTTACTCCTGCGTACAACCATAGAAAGAACCTGTCCAGCTTCACGCATCGCTCTGCTTCCCTCATACTTTTTAGAAAGCAGTTCCTTATGTTGGTTCATAGCATGGCAAGAAGAATCTCCATTAAAGAAAGCTCCAGGGGCCGGCCTCCTGGCTTAGCGGTTAAGTGCGCGCGCTCCGCTACTGGCGGCCTGGGTTTGGATCCTGGGCATGCACTGCTTCTCCAGCCATACTGAGGCGGCGTCCCACATACAGCAACTAGAAGGATGTGCAGCTATGACATGCAACTATCTACCCGGGCTTTGGGGGAAAAAAGGAGGAGGATTGGCAATAGATGTCAGCTCAGAGCTGGTCTTCCTCAGCAAAAAGAGGACGATTGGCATGGATGTTAGCTCAGGGCTGATCTTCCTCAAAAAAAAAAAAAGAAAGAAAGCTCCAGGTTTCTCAATTTAAGCACTGTAGACATTTTGGACTGGGTAATTCTGTCTTGTAGGGGCCTATCCTGTGCATTGTAGATGTTTAGCAGCATCCATGGCCTCTACCCGCTAGATGCCAGTAGCATTCCCCCATCCTTGTGACCACCAAAAATATCTCCAGACCTTGCCAAATGTTCCCCGGGGGGCAAAATTGCCCCCAGTTGAGAACCACTATTTTGAAGCAATACACCCCCAGGGTTGAGAGCTGATACGCCACTACTATTCACGAATGGAGAGCTCTTTTACTGAGAGCCCTTTACATTCACCACCTTGTGTAGTTTTAATCCTAATGTTCCCATTTTATGGTTTGGTGAAACTGAGGCAGGGCACTTAAGTGATGTGATCAAGGTCACGTAGTAGCAAAAGCAGGATTTGAATCTAGAGCATCTGACTTCATACACGAATGTCCTACTTGATTCCCTGAGGCACTCTTACCAAGGTAAAAAAGAAAAAAAGAGGGACCTCCTTTTAGGATATTTTCTTTTCCTTCAAAAAATTTGGGGAGTGAAGTCAAGGGACACTGTTTCTTTTGACCACACCCTCCAAACCATGAGCATAACAACAGTAGCCCACTTTTACTCAACACTTAATAAGTGCCAGGTACTATTCTAACAGTTCACCAATTCTCACCATCCTACAAGGGATCAATTTGGATCCAGGGCAGTTCCCCAAATCACCACCAGATGGCAGTCAGCAATAAGCTTTTGCTTAGCGCTGTTTGCCTTCTAAGGCAGATCCTCCAGGGGTGGCTGATTTGGGATTTAGAGAACCTCTAACTGATGAGTGGGGACCAACATTGTGTGTCCCTGCTTCAGTCTCACAAGGCGTGCCTTGACTGGTTGTGACTCACTGGTACCAGAAACAAAAAATTAAACGTGGGCAGACTTCAGGGTTCTGATCCCCCATTCCAGCTGGCTTGGTGTTGGGGAGGTGGGTATACTGGGGACCTGTGTGTAGAAGAGGTGAAGGGAGAAGCAGAGTTCCAAGAATCAGCTCAACCAAGAGTTACCTTGGCTCAGATACAAGACTGTGCCCCTCGGGCCAGCCCCGTGGCTTAGTGGTTAAGTGCGGCGCTCCCCTGCTGGCAACCCGGGTTTGGATCCCAGAAGCGCACTGACACACTGCTTCTCCAGCCATGCTGAGGCCGCGTCCCACATACAGCAACTGGAAGGATGTGCAGCTATGACATACAACTATCTACTGGGGCTTTGGGGGAAAAAATAAATAAAATTATAAAACAAAGAAAACCTTTAAAGACTGCGCCCCTCTACACCAAGACTCATCAAAAGCATTGTTTGTATCTGTCTCCACTTCCTGGCCTCCCTTTCTCTCTAGAAGCCCCTCCACTGCACTGAGACTGCCCACTCATCTCCACACTGCCCAACCCTGAGCTCAGCCTTCTCTTGCCGGACCTCTCCATGGGTTTTGACCAGCTGATCCCTCCCCGTCCTGCAAACAGGTTTCTCTCTCTACCTACGGGACGCCAGGGCCACCACTATCCATTCACCACCCGCCTGGCTGGCCCTCCTCCTCTCTCCTTCACTGTCTCCTCATTTCCCTGACCTCCAAACATTGGAATGCTCCCAGGCTCAGTCCTTGGTCCCCTTCTCTTCTCTGTCTCTGTCACCCCCAGCTCCCCTTCCCCAGGCCCATGGTGGATAACCCCCACATTGACACATCCAGTCTGGACTTCTCCCCTGAAATCTGCACTTGCTGATCTAATTGCTTCCTTGCTGTTGCAGGCGCCTCTAACATGGTTCCCAACTATCCCTGCCCATTGATATTCACACTCATCACCTCTCTTGGAACACAGTCTGGACCTAGTGACCCTGGTTTAACAAGCAGAACACTGTAGAAGTGATGGGATGTCACCTCCAAGATTAGGTTACAAAAAGACGATGACTTCAGTGTTGCTCGCTCTCTCTGAGGGAAGCCAGCTGCCAAGTTGGGAGCATCACCACTGTTTGCCCAGGCTATTGCTGTAGCAGCATCCTAACTGGTCTCCCTGATGCCACCTTTGTTCCCTCTACAGTCAGTTCTCCATCCAGCAGCCAGAGGGATCCTGCTGAAACCTAAGTCAGATCATGTCCCTCCTCTACCCAGCTAGAGGTTCTGCCAGGGTTCCCCACCACACTCAGAGTAAAAATCCCAAGTCTTTACCCTGTCATGCTAGGGGCTAAGTGATCCAGTTCCCTGTCATCCCTCTGATCTCCTTTCTAGCCTCTTTGTCCCCCTTCCCTCTGTTCCAGGCCCATTGGCCTCCTTGCAGTTCCTCTTACACATTCAGCACACTCCAGCCTCAGGGCCTTTGCACCTGCTGTTCCTTCAGCCTGGAATGTTCTTATTCTAGATATCCACTGGCTTCCTTTCTTGGTTCTTTCAAATGTCTGCTCAAAAGTCACCAGAGAGGCCTTCCCTACCAACCTACCTGAAACAGCCCCTCCCCACTCCCTCCCTCTCTAACCCACTTACCCTGCTTTATTTTTTTCATAACACTTATTATCACCTGACTATTATCACCTCTTTAGTACCCACCCCCAACCCCCAAAATATGAGCACCATATTACCTTCATTGCTGTTTTCCCAGCACCTGGAACAACACCCAGCACCCAGCAGGTGTTCAATAAATATTTGTAGAACGAATGGACCCAAACCCTCAGCAGAATAGAACGGCCTGTTTTCCTTACTTTCCCAATGGTGGTTATGGTGGATGGGCTGCTGAGGGGCAAATTCCCACTCCTCTTTCAGCCTCCTCTTCCCACTCCTTTCTTCACTCGCTCACTTCTGGAGTCAAAGATACGATTTCAGCTTCCTTGTCGCTCTCCTCCTTCCCTAATCCTCTTCCCATGCACAGCTGCTGACACTAGAAACACCACGGAGTCTTCCAGCTCCATGCCACCAATACTTTCGAAGGGTGCAGGTGTCCCTGGGAAGGGCAGTACCCTGAGAGCTGCCACCCACCCCTGTGAAGACCTCCGGCTTCCGTCCTCCCTTTCTTCACAATGTTTGCTGAGTGTCTACGGTGTAGCAGGCCCTGATCCAGGAACGAGAGAATGTCCTGGAAAGCAAGACACAGCCCATGTTCAAGGGCTCCCAGCCTAGTGAGGGGCCCAGCTGCTCCGGGCCATTTGGGCCCAGGATGATAGGTGCTGGGGGAAACACTGTGGGCCACAGGAGGAATCCCGACTCTTGGAGAGTTGAGAGTCAGGGAAGTCTTCCTGGAAGAGGAGACCTTTAAGCTGATTCCTGGAAGAGAGTATGATTTAGCTCTGAGAAGGGAGGGGAGGAAACACAAAGGTGGGAGCCTGAGAAGGTGCAGATACCCCTGGGATAGTAAGCTGTAAGCTCTTATTCATCATTTCCACCTCAGGGGGAAGTAAGGGGCTCTGTGCAGGGGACGAAGGTGACAAGAGGAAGCAAGCAGGCCTGACTTTCCCCAGAGAGAAGAAGGTCTCCCCTTTTCCCACGGCCTCTGCTGGCTGCTCCCATAAGGTGCTTGCTCTCAGGTAAACAACCCCAGAGTATTTCTGAGCATCTTTCCCACCTCACTGCTGTCCCGTGTGACTTCAAGTTTCCCCTAGCAGCCATGGCCCAGGGAGGACAGACTTCATTCTGGGTTGACTTCTCCCCACTGCTTTCAAGATGTG